AGGGTGGGTTCTGGATCTGGGAAAGTTGTGTTCAAGTCTGACCCCAAATCACAAAAAAAGTGATTCTATGGGGTTCTGTGAAACAGCAAGTGGGGTTCTGTGATATGTGTTTGATACTGTGGATTTAGAACATGGGGCTATGGACCTAGATAGCCCAGGCAAGCTTGATCTTGTCAAATCTCAGAAGTTAAGCAGGGTCACCCCAGGTTAGTACTTGGATGGGAGGCCGCCAAGGAGGTCCGGGGTCACTACACAGAGACAGGCAAGGGCCAACCACCTCTGAACATCTCTTGCCTTGTTTGAACACCCCCTTGGGTTGCCATAAGTCAGCTGTGACTTGACGGCATTCAAAAACAAAAAAACAAAGCGGAGTTAGTACATTATTATCTTGCCCTTCCCCCGAGGAGCTCAGGATAACATACCTTACTCTGTCCTCCTCCGCTTTATCCTAACAACAATCTTGTGAGGGAGGTTAGGCTGAGAGTGTGACTGGCCCCAGGATCACCCAGCAAATTTCAAGGAAGAAGAAGAGGACTACCTGAAGGGAAAGGGGATTGTAAGCCGCTCTGAGACTCCTTCGGGTAGTCCTCTTCTTCTTCCTTCAGGTAGAGGAAGAAGAAGAGGACTACCCGAAGGAGTCTCAGAGCGGCTTACGATCCCCTTTCCCTTTCCCTCCCCAGAACAGACAACCTGTGAGGTAGGTGGGGCTGACAGAAACTGCTCATGAGGGAACAGCTCTGAAAGAACTTGTGACTGACCCAAGGCCACACCAGCAGCTGCATGTGGCGGAATGGGGAATCAAACCCGGTTCTCCCAGATAAGAGTCCACGCTCCTAACTACTACACCAAACTGGCTCTGAGGCACAGTGAGGATTTGAACCTGGGTCTCCTGGAATCTAATCCAGCCACGATATCATGCCGGCTGTCCAGTGGCAACCTTGACGTCTCCCGAAAGATCCAAAATATGTCCTATTTGTGCTCTTTAGGCCTTAGAGCACCCCCCCATTGCTGCCGCCAGAGTGATATCAGCCGTTCGTTCCCTGCTTGATTGAAATATCGACTAAATAAGTTTACATTTCCCCCCCAAGCTGCAAAATCTGAGCCCAGAAGCTGTTTATCTGAGCTCAGCACCTTGTTAAAAAGGCTCGGATTCTGCACTTGGCCGCAGCTCAGTTTGTAGATACGTCTGAGTTAAAGACTAATGCGAAACAGAGAGAGATCGGAGCACCTGATACTCCTTTACCTTTCTGCGCAGGGGAGAGCAGAGGCGTTTAATAAGAAGCCAGTCTGGGGGTGGTGGTGGAAATAGGATTGGGTGTCATAAATCTTCTGCTGGGGACCGATGCCAGCTGGGGCATTTCTGTCAGAGAAAGTGACTGTTTTGCTCTGCAGATCCGGGGATTATTTCGCGCAGAGGGATAGGAGGCAGAGGAGGGGACGGCCGCGGTCACGGAGCATGTGTCCAACATTTGCAAACCGTATGCAGATGAACATTTAATTAGTTTGAGAGTGCGGCAGCGGCAGCTGCCGCCAGGGCCGTCCAAATGCTCCGAATATGAACTGATTACAGATGCAATATTCTTGGCTTCAGCGAAAATAGGGGACGGCAGCATCGGAGCCAGAGAAGCTGGACGGCAATGAGTTGAGACATTCCCACGGGGAAATAGACTGCGCAGCCGAGAAGCTGAGATCAGAAGTGGTATTTCTTGGCTCTGCACTCTTCCCCCCCTCTTCCTCTCTAGCGGTGTGGGTGCCGCCACGGGAGCGCTGCTCCTTCTCATCTTGCCAGGGTAATACGAGGAAGCAGTGTGGTGGAGTGGTTAGAGAGTCGTACCAGGGTGTGGGAGACTTGATTTTGAATCCCAGCTCTGCCCTGAGAGTCAGTGTGGTGTGAGACAGCCTGCGTGGTGTAGCAGTGACAGTGAGAGGCTCAGGTTCAGGTCCCCACTCTGCCAGCGGTGACAGTGTCAGGCTAGGATCCGAGAGGCTCAGGTTCAGGTCCCCACTCTGCCGTGGAAGATTCCTGGGTGACCATGGGCAAAGCATTTTATCCCAGCCTAACCTAGCTCTCGCCCTAACCCAGATGGCCCAGGCTAGCCTGATTTTGTCAGATCTTGGAAGCTAAGCCGGGTTGGCTTTGGCTAGTATTGGGATGGGAGACATCCAAGGACGCAGGCCCAGGCCCTGGGAAACCAACTACGAATGTCTCTTGTCTTGAACACCCAGCAGGGTCGCTGTAAGTCAGCTGTGACCCCCCCAACCCTTAGTTCTCATGGTGGATTTTGTGAGGATGAAACAGGAAGAGGGGGGTGCTATAAGCCACTTTGAAGAAGAGGAGATTGGATTTATACCCCGCCCTTCACTTGGAGTCTCAGAGCGGCTCACAATCTCCTTTCCCCTCCCCTCCCCACAACAGACACCCTGTGAGGTGGGTGGGACTGGAGCTGGTGCTGTATCACAGGGAAGGTCTTCTAGCTTGGAAAGATGATGAGAAAAATTCATGGCAGGACTGCCTGTCAACTCCATGATAACAAAATCTGCAGTCCTGACCTTATTGCATTTCTGCTCGGATGCCTCAGCCTGTTGATCACATTGTCTTATGCCGTGTAAGGCTAGCCTGGCCTATCCAGATTAGGGTGATCATTACAGAAGATACACTTTAATTGCTGGCTTATAAATGTGTTTTATTTATTTAATTCATGTATATCCCATCTTTCTCTCCAATGGGGACTTAAAGCGGCTGACATCATTCTCCTCTCTTCCAGTCGGTCCTCACAACGACCCTGTGAAGTAGGGGAGGCTGAGAGAGCGTGACTGGCCCAAGATCAGCCAGTGAATTTCATGGTACAGTGGGGATTTGAACCTGGGTCTCCCACATACTAGTCTGACACTGTTAACCACTACAGCACACTTGGCATCCCCCCCAATGTTTTAAAGGGGCATACACACACACACACATATATACACATCTCTGTTTTGAGAGACCACGTTGGATTAACTGGCGCTGAGGAGCCAGTTATTTATTTAGACAGCTTCTGAGCTCTCTTGAACTGATGTACATAGTAAAACAATCCAGAATCATTCAAAAGCCAATGGGCCTAGGCCAGGCCAGCCTGCTGTATCACAGTGAAGGACTTCTAGCTTGGAAAGATGATGAGAAAAATTCATGGCAGGACTGCCTGTCAACTCCATGATAACAAAATCTGCAATCCTAACCTTATTGCATTTCTGCTCAGATGCCTCAGCCTCTTGATCACATTGTCTTATGCCGTGTAATCCGTCTTGAGTCTCAGTGAGAAAGGCAGGCCCGTAGGTGGGGCTTTTGGGGTCACAAGAATTTCTCCCGTAAATGCTTTTTTCAATCATTTAAAAACATTTTTAAAAGGCATGCACTCCTTTAAGCAGAGTGTGGGTGCTGTAGTTGACTAATTCCTGCACTGAGCACAAGGGGGTTGGAGTAGGTGACCTCTAGGATCCCTTCTAACTCTGTGTCAAGAAACTGGTCTCCATTTTGAGAGTTTTTCTGCCTAAGTGTTAGCTTTCTTGACTATAGAAGCCATCACCAGGCCAGATACTGAAGCTGAAGCTCAAATACTTTGGCCATCGAATGAGAAAGGAGCACTCACTGGAGAAGACCCTGATGCTGGGAAAGATTGAAGGTCAAAGAAGACGGGGACGGCAAAGGATGAGATGGTTAGACAGTGTCATCGATGCACCAAACATGAAATTGAGCCAACTTCAGAGGACGGCGGAAGACAGGAGGGCCTGGCATGATGTGGTCCATGGTGCTGTGAAGAGTCAAACTTGACTGTGCAACTGAACAACAACAAAAATTGGAACCTTCAGATCCAGAAGCAGTCTACCTTTGAAAAGCAGGTGCTAAGGACGGGTGAAGGGGAGGAGGCTATGCCCTCATCTGCTCATAAATTTCCCAAAGAAGCCTGTTGGAAATGGACTAGCTGGCCCTCCTTTTATGTTCCTGTGAGCTCCACACACATGGATGGGAAAGGAAGCTCTGGGCAGAAGACCTCAAAACGCAGGGTTGCCAACTCCAAGCTGGGAAATGCCTAGAGATTTGGGAGTGTAGCCTAGGGAGGGGAGAGGCCTCAGTGGGAATGCGATGCCAGAGAGTCCACCTACCAAAATTTCCATTTCTTCCAGGGGGATTGAGCTCCCTGGTTGGAAATAATTTATATTTCCAGAGGGTCTCCAGGCCCCACCTGTAGGTTGGCAACCATAAAGCGCTGTACGGCTCGGGACTCGCCAGCGACTCGGCTGGGGAGGTCGCCCGGCCTGAGGGGCTGACAAATTGCGCAGGCGCTGTAGGGACGCGATACCGTCTCTATCTGATGCCTGGACACCGCTGGAGACCAGAGCAACAGGCGCCGTCAGGCTCGCCGCGGACTGTGTCGACGCCGCTCGATGCTGCCCCCTCCTGGCCGGGGCCAAACAACGCGCGTGCCGCCGAGAAAAGACTATATGGTTCGGGCAGCAGCGCCCAGCCCGAAAGAGAGACAACGATTAACTCTTTCTGTCCCGAGGCTGCGTTGTCTCTTCGGGGGATGCGCTTGGGAGCCTGGAAGCAACAGGTGGCGAGACCCAGTTAAGCAGCCTAGGGACACCCCCCCCTTCCCTATTTTAGCTCTAGCCCTTTCCCGCTCGCTCGCTCTCTCCCTCTCCTCCGCAGTTGCCTTCCTTCCGAGCCCGTAGCCGGGGAGTCCCTTCTCTGTGCTCACGTGCAGGCGCGGGCTGGTCGTGCGGATGCCCTCCTTTCCCCCTCTGTTAACCCCTGCGGGGTTCGTCCAAGGCTAGGAGGGCATTGAGGAGACTGTTCTCCCTCGTCTGCAGGAAAGAGAGCCGCCCCTCCTCCCGGTTTGCTGCGGAAGGAAGAGGTGCACCGGCACCCCCCTCCCCCCAAGCCCTCCTGCTCTTTCCTGCCTGGAAGATCTGACCACCCCCGGTTCGAGCGCGGGGCTGGGCGTCCTTTGCCTGCCGAACGGGACAGACAGCCTGCCTTCTCGGCGCCAGGGATGTGAAGCCGGGGGTGGGAGCCCCTTCCCCAGGCGTCGCGGGGGATGGATTTCCGGGCGGCCTTCCTCGGCTGCTGCTGCTGCCTCTGGCCGCTGATCGCTCTCCCCCTTGCCCAAGGTAAGCGCCGGGCTGCCGCGGAGCAGACGCCCGCCCCGAGGGCGGCTTGGTGCGGTGCGGTGCCCTTGGGCAGAGTCGCCTTTGCTGGTGCGTGGCGGGGTCAGCCAACTCCGGGGACTGATTGGGGACTCCCCTCCTCGTTGGGGCACGGAGGGTGTGTGTGTTTGTGTGTGTGTGTGTGTGTCGGCGATGTTCCTTTTATTCTTGGCTCTTCTTTGCAGGGACTTTGGGAAGTTTGTCAAGATTTTACAAAAGAACAGAACTCTCTCTGGTTCGATTCCCTTCCATTTGAGAGTGAACGGGGACGCATGTGGGTATGCCTGGCTTGTGCATTCACAGCAGAGCACAGAGAGACAGACACTGCTTGATATATGTATATATTCTCTCTCTCTCTCTCTCTCTCTCTCACACACACACACACACAGAGCACTATGAGTACAACAGGATGCACACTCCTTTGGAAGCAGCAAGTCCGCTTGCAGTCACTGGGACTTCCTTAAGCGTCAGTGTGCATAAGGCGAGCTGCACATTAATCACACTCACATCCTCGGTTTGCACTAGAGTGGATTTTACAGGCTTCATTTAGAAGAGCCCTTTCTTTCATTCATATTCATATTCTGAATCGTACCTGTGAGAATGCAAATTTATCTTGCAATCCTCAAGGGAATATCTGTTGTAAAAACTTTGCCGACCTTCTCACAACCTCCATATTATTTTTAAGCATGGCATTTATTACTGCTGCAAAGCCTTTTTAAAAAAAAATATTGCATCTTCTTCCCCCTATGCAAGAGGAAGAGATCTTCATAAGGGACCGGTCGACTTGGCATGGTTCTTCACTCGCCCCTCCCTTAGGGCACACTCACCTGTACAAATTAGCCTGATGTGCTCTGTTTCCGGTTAAAGGCAAGGATGAGTACATTGTTTGAGTTTACTTGCATGAGAATGAGTGAGCCCTGACTCAGGAAAGCTGATGCTGGAATACGTTTTTCAAGTGCCACCAGATCCCTGTTTTGTGTTCACAGTAAAGCATTCAGTCGTTTGGCAAATTACAGTGCAGCCCTAAACAGATTTACATCCTTTTAAATTCACTGAAGAGGGTTGATTTAGAAGGGTGTAACTGTGTTAAAGATTGCACTGTTCTTCATCAATAGTAATAACACTAATAATAATAATTAATAATACAAATCACTTGGCTGTGGGGCATAGCAGCCTAGTGAATGAGAACCCTGATGTATGAGGTGTCTGGCTCAAGTTCTTGCCTCTGATAAAAACTGGCTAGCTGTGCAATCCTAAACAGAGTTGCATCCTTCTGCGACCACTGAAGTCAATGTCGGGTGTAATTCTACATAACACAGATCTGCCTGACTGTCGTATGGAGGGCAGCAAGAATGTATGTGCATTATAAGAGCTTAGGAATCTTCTTTGGAATCAGGTCATATAGAAATGCTGTTCTACTTAGGGCACAGTACATCCAAAGTCTTAGCCTGCAATCCTAAGGACGTTTTTCTGGGAGTAAGCACTACTGAATAAAGTAGACTTACTTCTGAGCAGACTTGTTTAGGATTGCTCCTTCTAAGTCCCACTGATTTCAGTGGGTACGTGCTTAACTCTACTTTCCAAATCAATTGGCCTTGAAAAATGGTGAACCGGTGAGTGGATTGTGCCCTGTCAGCCCAGTACTGAGCATGCTCAGGGGGCATGCTGCTCTGAGTTCAAGGGACAAACTGCCAAGTAAGTATGGACAAGTAAAGAAAAATAATGATAGAGCTAGATTCTGTTCAGTGTAGCAAATGTAACATTACTTGTGATGCCATTGTGTTTCTGGACGGCTATTTGTGTGAATGTTGCTCTTGCGGTAATTGGATTCCCAAGCAGAAAAAACTCCCAGAATAATGCCTGCTAAATATATCCAGAAATAGTCTTCTCCTTCAACTCCATACATCAGATGAACATAATGATCTAGATCTGTGTGTTATCGTCATCCTTTTTTGATACTGACTTAATGTGGAACTTTCTTCAGTTTTTAGCCCAGTCCTACACATTTGTTTAGAAACCACTGAGTTCACCAGGAGTGATGCACATGGGCTTGTAGCATCATGACCTTTTTTCTGACCTAGAAGATGTATTCCAGACGACCAGCAACTAGAGATGCCAGCCTCCAGGTGGGGCCTGGGGATTCCTTGGTTTTACAGCTCATCTCCAGACTGCAGAGATCAGTTCCCATGGAGAAAATGGATGCTTTAGAGGGTGGACTCTATGACATTGTACCCCACTGAGGTCTCTGTCCTCCCCAGGTTCCACCCGCAAATCTCCAGGAGTTTCCCAGCCTGGACCTGGCAACCTTATCCAGAATCCCCAAACAAGAAATTGCAAGTAGATAAATAGGTACCACTTCAGTGGGAAGGTAACAGCATTCCGTGCACCTTGGTGTTTAGTTATGCCGGCCACATGACTACGGAAACGTTTTCAGACAGCGCTGGCTCTTCGGCTTTGAAATGGAGATGAGCACCGCAACCCTAGAGTCGGATTCGACTGGCTTTTGAGCAAGGGAACCTTT